GGTAAGGGCAGAGGGTGGGGTGGGAACCGGGTGGAGGGGAGCTATGGGGGGGAAAAAGAGGAACAACTGTAATAATCTGAATAAAGATTTAATTAAAAAAAAAATCAAGTGTGTATTCATTTTTTGGGGACACCCTGTATGTATTACTTTTATAATCAGAGGGTTGAAAAAGCACCTTTATTTTCGCAAAATGTTAAACATATTACATTATTTCCTGGATTTTAGTAGGTCAGACATTAGCTATTATAGAGTGCAAACTCCAAAATTGAAGAAACACAGCATCTTCTGGTACTAGAAGCGTTTTTCTAACCCTGCCTGCCCTCCAACCGATTCAAAATCTTGCTCTTTTTTAGAGTTGTCCTTTAATGTTTGCCTCCCTACCATATTTGATTAGAAAAAAAACAATTAAGATTGACTTGTCTTGGTTACATAATCATGAAATAACAGGTTTAGAAGAGCAAAACGACAATCAGAAGTATAAAAAAAGCTTTATTAGTGTATATATACAAATTTACAAGGTCAGAAACTGGAGAAATACAAAGAGCTTTAAAACACAATTTGCCTTTTCTTCAGTTTAAAGTGACTTTTACCTGATTGTGATACAATAGAAAATACAGAATAGTAAACTGCTTTTTAAATACTGGAATTTTATGGAAAATACGTTCACACATGACAGGGAGGTGAATTTTGGAATAAGACAATATCAACACTTCTGTTACATTTACTGCCGCAGATGTAAGGGGAAATTCTCAAAATCAAAGACCCGAACTTGCTGCTGCTGCCTGTACTGAAATTTAAATATTTCATCTAGCGTACGAAATGACAGCTATCAATTCTAGAATGTGTGAGATTGAATACTTGCACATGATAAATGACTTGATATATCCTAGCACTCCAGGGGCAGACTGGAGGAAGGTCAGAAAGATCTGATAATCCCAGTTAAGCAAGGTAGAATACAGAGCTGCCTTCTTAATTGCACTTGTTCTGGAGTAGAAGTTAATGAGAGAGAGAACCATACTAGGAACCCTTATTGAGCCTCCATTAGGCAGAAAAAATCCTTCACTTTCTGTCAGTGTCCTCTAAAAAGGTGTCACACTCATGAGCCACATGTTCCAGAGTGATGAGGTTAATGTACCTAACATGCTGAGTTTGTCAGTGAGAGAACAAAGGCAGCCAGGTCAAAGCAGTCATCTTACCCTTCAGCAAAACAGAAAAAATTTCACTTCCCAAATGTGAAAACTTTACAGGTGTTATGTTCTTGCCCAGGAAATTCAAAATTCATATGCTCTCCCTCATAACATTTATAGTTTATTGACAACATAAAACAGGTTAAGACTCTGAACTGAATACACACATCCACACACACACACATCCACACACACCCAATAAACATTTGTTTTTTAATTTTTAAAAATATTATGTGTTTGGTGCCATTTTCCTTCGTTTTAGTCTTGCTCGCCAATCTTCAGGAAGGGCTTCAAAATTAGCATTTCTCTCTGCCATGCCACTGTGAAAACAACAAACAGATTACTTCACTGGGAAGAAAAAGAATGAATCTGTTCATTACCTAGTACGTAAAAACCTCTTAACTGAAACTGAAAATTTGACCTGTCACATCTATGTTCATGAAAATGTTCAAGTTTCTCAGCTAAGTACTAGCAAATTCTTTATCAAATTTCTTCTGATGGGTCAACAAAAGACATACACACATTTTATTTTTATTTATCTCCAACAACCATTAAAGCCACACTGAAGGAGTAAAACATTCTTATAAAAGTTTATCTTGGCCACTAGGAGTTATGATTCTTTAAGGAAGATTTTTAAATCTTTAATATACCATAAGGGACATTTGGACCTAATGTTTTAGAAATTCTCTTTTGATCAGTTCTATTTGTAAAGATTGATATCTCATGACAGTCATTTAAAAAATAAATTAAAGCTCATATTCTATCTTGCAATGATCAGAATGGGTGAACTGGATACTTTTATAAATCTAAAATAATCTAAGATAAATTACAAGATCACTGTAATTACCTCCCATCATCTTAAATCATTTGCTAATTTCATCTTATAGGAATTCACCATTCAATTCCCAGCAATACTAAAAAAGACTAAAATAATAAAAAAACTGAATAATGGAATCACCTACGAGGATTATGCAAAAGTGAAATAAACTATCACTAACACCATCCCTCAGTTTTATTATTATGTTGCCGAAAACAGCGCATCACTTTTCAAGGAAATATAAAATGAAGTTTGGAGACATTTGCATAGTCTTTTTTGCTTTTACAAGTATAAGATGAATGCAAAGAGACAGAGAGTGGCACTAGATTCAATTTCATAATCTAGTATTTTATAACATGAACCCAGACCATCTTGTTTCCCTAAAAAGATGTGCAGCAGGAATCTTCCCCGGTTTCCGATGCTGCATGATAAAATTTATTTGATAGGGTTCTCAAGTGGACAAATGCTGAAAGCAAGTGTGCAGTGATTGGAGAGAAGTAGGTATTTTAGAAACAAATTCACTGGAATGACCATTCAATTGACATGTATGTATCAAAAAATGAAAATGTTTTCAATTATGAAGCAACGAATGACTATCTTCTCTCAAATTTTTTTTCTAGTGAGTACATAAAGTATGATACTATTTATTTTGTATACTTTTTTAACATTACAATTTTGTTACTTCCAAATATTTTCATATGTACTGTGTTTATGGATGTTGCAAGAGCAAGAACCATAAATAAGCTGGACCTATCAGAGACGAATTTGAAATTGGCATCAATCACTATTTATGAGAGAAGTATGGTCCAGATTACACATGACAACTGAGCAACATCAGAAGGATGCTGCTCACTTCAGTATGCATGCCTTTCAAAACTAGGAAAATAAAGAATACAAATTTGGGTTAACCATGTGTAAATTCTTATTAAAATTTCTTTTTTTAAAAATATTTTGTATTAATTTCAGAGAGGAAGGGAGAGGGAGAGAAACATCGATGATAGATAATCATTGATTGGCTGCTTCCTGCATGTCCGCTACTGGGGATTGAGCCCGAAACCCGGGCATGTGCCCTTGACCGGAATCGAACCCGGGACCCTTCAGTCCACAGGCTGATGCTCTATCCACTGAGCCAAACTGGCTAGGGTCTTATTAACATTTCTAATGAAGTGTTCTCCCTTTCTCTTTATTTTTACTTTGGTAAATTATCCTATATAATAGAAACCTAATATGCTAAGAATCCGATCGTCGGTTCAACCAGTCAAAGTGTAATCTATCTATCTATCTATATATATAAAAAACCAGTGTCCATGATGACCAGGACGATCAAACAACCGGTCACCATGAGGTGCATTGAGCACCCCTCAGTCCCACAGGCTCCGATCGCAGCAAGGCGGGCAGCAGATGGGCGGGACTGGGAGCAGCGGTGGGCTACTGTGTGCGATTTTGTGCGCTGGGCCTCAAGTCTATAATAATAAAAGTGTAATATGCTAATTAGACCGGACATCCTTCTGGACGAAGCTGGGGCTGTGAGGGAAGCCCAGGTCCTAGGTGCCAGAGGGAAGCCGGTGCCGGCAGTCGGGGGAAGGAAAGCCTACTCTTGCACGAATTTCATGCATTGGGCCTCTAGTATAATAATGATATGCTAAGGCTACTCAACCACTCGCTATGATGTGCACTGATCACCAGGGGGCAGACGCTCTGACCAAGAGGTTAGCTTGCTGCTGGGGTCCAGCTGATCGGGGACTGGAGATGAGCCGGACGCGCCCTGGAGCCCTCCCTCATCCCTCCCTGACCCTGATTGTGCACTGGGCCTCCTGTCTGTAAAATAAAATTAAAAAAATATATATATATAAGGGTCTACTGGATCCATAAGTAAATGGGGAAGTATGCTGTGTTAAAAACCATTCCTTTGCATAAGATGAGCAATTGATGGGAGAAAGTATTACAATTCTGATAGTTCTGATGTTGAAAAAGGCCAAAACCTAATTTTTATAGATAAATGTTTCTATGAATTAATCACAACCCACCCCACCCCACCTTTGGTCTCTTTTCTTTTACCTGACCAGCTGCTGCTGTTTCCACTCTTCAATTCGCTTCTGTGCAGTTGATTCCCTGTCCTCTTCACTGGAACTAGAGTTCTCCTCTTCATCTAACTCACGCTGTATGCTCTGCCACTTCTTTACCAGAGATGGCATTTTTGTTTTACTCTTCTTTGCCTATAACAAAGGTTAAAGGTCAGAAGGAATTTAGTACATAAGATAAGAAAATGAGTCCTCCATATGACATTAGGATCTTTTCTTAGTGCTAAGGAATAAGTAAACTTTAAAACCAAAAGAACAGAAACACAAAATAAGTACCATTCTACAGTTTTTGCCATCAAAGATTTCTACCGACTATAAACTTAATGCTTGGTTAAAAAGAAAAACTGTAAATGTAGCTATTTTATGAAATCAGGCCAGAAAAATTTCCTTTATTAGCCTCCTTATTCTATGGAATTCAGAACTGTAGCCCTTATCTCACCTCAGAATTATGGTGTTCCCCTTTACAAATTTTAAACAGATGCAGTGTTAACATCAAGTGAAAAATAGAACTAAGAAACCAATGACCAACTTTTCTGGAAAGAGCAACAAAGTCAATAGCAACTATTAAATATGAAAAAAAGCAAGAATCTATCAAAATATGAATGATGATATTAATTCTAAGAAGGGGGTATTATGATAAATTTTACTTCTTTTGGCTTACGTTTGTTTATAAATTGTCTATAATACATATGCACTTTTGTAGTAAAGAAAAATAATTGTGATATTTGCAAAAAGAGAACTATATATCCAACATGGCTTGTTCCATCCCTTCAGGCTTTTCTGATCAATGGTACTCTAGCAAAGAGCCCTTCCCCCACACCGTATCTAAAACAGCACTACCTACGTAGCAAAGACCAAACACATTCTGTCACATTATACTGCTTCCATGCTCCCCCCCACAGCATTTTTAATGAAAATAAAAAATATTTTTATTGATTTCAGAGAGGAAAGAAGGTGATAGAAAGACCAATGATGAGAGTGAATCATTTACTGGATGCTTTCTGCACCCACACTACCGGGCATCAAGCTTGCAAACTGGGCATGTGCCCTGACCAGGAACCAAACCATGACCTCCTGGTTCATAGTTTGGGGCTCAACCACTAAGCCATGCTAGCCAGGCCTTTCACTGCATTTTAAAACACTGAACATTTATTTGCTTATCTGACTCCCCAATTCTATTCCTGTATCTCCCCCAATCAGCCAGTAGAGAAGCTCCAAAAAAGCAGGAATTATATTTGTTTTACTACCAAATCCCAAGCTCCTAGGGAGAATGCCTGATAAGTAGTATGCATTCAAAATATACTGGTTGACATGTGTGATTAGTTATGTGAAACTAGAGAGCCATTGTATTAGAAATTGTTTTTAAAGAGGAGCAATGATTCTCCCTCATCATTGATGTTTCTATCTCTCTCTCCCTCTCCCTTCCTCTCTAAAATCAATAAATATATTTTAGCCCTAGCCAATTTGGCTCAGTAGATAGAGCGCTGGCCCATGGACTGAAGGGTCCCGGGTTCGATTCTGGTGAAGGGCACATGCCTGGGTGGTGGGCTCGATCCCTAGTAGGGGGCGTGCAGGAGGCAGCTGATCAATGATTCTTTCTCATCATTGATGTTTTTCTCCTCCCTTCCTCTCTGAAATCAATTAAAAATATATTTAAAATATATTTTAAAAAAAGAATGTCTTAAAAACACACCATATTCCATGCAAACAGTGATCAAGACAAAATAGGCTATAAGTAAAAAACAGTTATAAAAGATAAACAAGGATATTATTTGATAATAAAAGGGTAAATCCAAATAAATTAAAACAATACCACTTACAATAGCATTGAAAAGTGTAGGGAGCAGCTAAAGGGTTAAGCCTGGGACTGACCTATTGGCAAAACCACAAACAAGTCCCAGCTTAGAGGGCACAGCCCTCTTAGCATAATCAGGCTTGACCTTATGAGTTCCCTAGATCTTATCTGGGTAGCTAATGGGCTGTGGGAGGTGCAGCAGTGCTGCCAAATCAAGTGAAACTCACAAGAACATTGTAAGTATGGTAACCACTACCTTGTTTACCTCTGGCTATAAAATAAAGGCTCAGCTTGCTGTCTGGGTCTCTCTCTGTGGCCTTAGCCAGGCACAGGAGATCCACCTAGACCCAGCTTATTCTCTCTGTCTTTTCTTACATCCTTCCATGTCCCCCCTCAGGCTCACTGAACCCTTGACTGAGCTGGCCCGGCACACAAAAGAATAAAATACTGAGAAAAATATAGCCTAGGAGGTAAAAGACTTGTACACTAAAAACTACAAAACATTTCTGAAATAAATTGAAGACCTAAATAAATGAAAAGGAATTCTGTGTTCATGGACTAAAAAATTCAATTAAAATTGTTAAAATGGCAATATGACTCAACAGATTAATGCAATCCCTATTAAAATTTCACTGGCATATTATGCAAAAACTAGTGGCCCATTGCACGAAGATTCATGCAATAGGCCTTGCTTCCCCTGGCTGCCGACACCGGTTTTCCTCCGGCACCCAGGACCCAGGCCTTTGGTCCGGCCAAAGCAGTGAGGCTTGGCTTCTCTGCTCCAGCTGCTCCCAGCCCCTCCTTTTTATTTTTTTCCAGCCACTTCTTCTTCTTTTTTTTTTTTTTATAAGATTAGTTTTTTTAAAAAATATTTTATTGATTTTTTACAGAGAGTAAGGGAGAGAGATAGAGAGCTAGAAACATCGATGAGAGAGAAACATCGACCAGCTGCCTCCTGCACACCTCCTACTGGGGATATGCCCGCAACCAAGGTACATGCCCTTGACCGGAATCGAACCTGGGACCTTTCAGTCCGCAGGCCGATGCTCTATCCACTGAGCCAAACCGGTTTCGGCTCCAGCCACTTCTTGAGCGGAGCCCAGGGCTGGCGGGAAGCTTGGTTTCCTCCGTCACTGGGAGCAACCCAAGCCTTCTGCTTGCTCCAGTTCCATGGCTGCCGCCATCTTCAGTCTTTGCTCCGCACCTGCATATGCAAATTAATCGCCATCTTTGTTGGGCTAATTTGCGTAGTTACTCTGATTGGCTGGTGGGCGTAGCGGAGTGACACCAATTTGCATGTTTCTCTTTTATTAGTGTAGATGGTAAAGCTGACCTTTAAATTCATATAAAAATATAAGGGTAGAGATGGGGGCGGTGGCATTTCTAAAGGTAATAGAGGTTGATGAAGCAAAGACTCAATTGGACTGAAGAAAAGTCCAGAATGGAGTCAAGACGCCTAAATAGCCAATATTGAAAAAGTACTACTCAATTTCAAAACATATTATAAAGCTATTGTAATCAAAACATTGTGGTACTAGCATATAGACCAGTGGTTCTCAACCTTCTGGCCCTTTAAATACAGTTCCTAATGTTGTGACCCAACCATAAAATTATTTTCATTGCTACTTCATAACTGTAATGTTGCTACTGTTATGAATCGTAATATAAATATCTGATATGCAGGATGGTCTTAGGTGACCCCTGTGAAAGGGTCGTTCGACCGCCAAAGGGGTCACGACCCACAGGTTGAGAACCGCTGATATAGACCAATGGAATAGAATTGAAAGTCCAGAAATAAACCCATACAATCATGGTGAACTGATGGGTACATACCTCAGTTGCAGGCTCTGGTGGGGGCATGTGCAGGAGGCAATCAATTGATGTGCCTCTCTCACATTGATGTTTCTCTCTGTCTCTCCCCCTCCCTTCCACTCACTCTCAAAATCAATGAGAAAAAATATCCTCAGGTGAGGATTAACACAAATAAAATATATATAAAAATAAATAAATTAAAGGACACGATCAGAATGAAGACAACCCACAGAGCAGGATAAAATACTTTCAAATCACATCTTAATAGGGACTTTTACCTGTAACATATACAGAACTCTTATAATTCAATAACAAAAGACAATCAAATTAAAAAGTGAACAAAGGGCCCTGGCCACATTTGCAGCTTAAAAAACATGGGGTCTTGGCTATTGTGACTCGGTTGGTGTTGACCAGCGCACCGAAAGGTTGCCAGCTAGATTCCCAGTGAAGGCACATGCCCGCGCTGTGGGTTTGATTTCTGGTCGGGGGTGTGTACAGGAGGCAACTGATCAATGTTTTTTACTCACTCTCACCTTTCCTCTCTAAAATCAATTTTTAAAAAATTTATTAAAAAAAAGGACAAAGTACTTAAGTAGACATTTCTCCAAAGATATACAAATGGTCAACAAGCAAATGAAAACATACACAATATGATTACTCACTATAGAAACAGAAATCAAAACCACGAGAAGATGCCACTTCTTGCCCATTAAAAGTTGTATAATAATTTTTTAAAAAAATATTTTTATTGATTTCTGAGAGGAAGGGAGAGGGAGAGAGAGATAGAAACATCAATGATGAGAGAAAATCATTGATTACCTGCCTCCTGCATGCCCCCCACCAGGGATTAAGCCCACAACCCAGGCATGTGCCCCTGACCAGAATTGAACCCAGGACCCTTCAGTCTGCAGGCTAGTGCTCTAGCCACTGAGTCAAAACAGCTAGGGCTATAATAACTTTTTAAACACAGAATCATCTTATGACTCAGCAATTTTATTCCTATATACCCAAAAGAAATGAAAACAAGTACTCAACATGCATGTACTCATATGCACATTTATATCAGTACTATTCATAATAGCTAAAAGGGGGTAAAACAATGTCCATCAATGAATGCATAGATAAACAATTTGTGATATATACAAATAAGAACCTTTACTCGGCTATAAAAAGGATGAAGTACTAATACTAATACATGCTACAACATGGGATAGACCTCGAAAACATTGTGCTAAGTAAAGGAAGCCAGGCGTTGAAGGTCACATATTCATGATTTCAGATTAGGTAAATCCACAGAGACAGAAAGCAGACTGGAGGTTCCCAGAGACTTGGGTAAAGAGGTGATGGGGAATGACTACTTAATGGGTACAAGGTTTTATGCTGAGGTGATGAAAATGTTTTGTAACTAGAGAGAGGTGGTGGTGGCACATTGTAAATGTACTAAATGCTATAGAATTGTATACTTTAAAATGGTTAAATTTATATAAATACCATCTTAATAAGACATTTTTTCAAATGAAAACTAGAAGGGAGATTTACTATACCTTATCTTTCTTTCCTTTTTTTGTCTTTTCAGGTGGTGGCACTTTGGGAGCTGGTGGTGGTGTTGATGGAGGAGGAGGTGGAGGAGGTGGAGGTGGTGGTGGTTCTACAACAGCAGTTGTAGGCACAGCACCTCGAGCCGGGACTGGCTGCAATGTGGGAGCAGTCACTGCCATTTGGACAGAACATTCAGCATAACTCATAATTGCAGAAGCTGATGCCAGTCCTAGGTAATTTGACTGTAAGCTTATTCCTCTGGCCTGATGACCTATTCCTGTTGCTGGATGGCTAACTGATGATACTGCCTGGTGTCCAATCCCTGCAGACTGTTGTCCAGTCCCTGTTGACTGGTGACCTAACACGGAAAACATAAAATGAAACTTAACGACAAAGGCCAAAAAAAAAAAAAAAAAAAAAAAAAAAAAAAGAAGGAAAAGGGAACCGAGGAATTTGTACATCAACATATCTTTTCCTAAACAAACAAGCAAGCCACATTTTCTGGTAGCAAAATGTTAATTTCTTCGTACTTTTAGCATTAAGGTACCTGAACATAAAAATCATTGATGTCATGTAAATGCACAGAAAACAATCTGGAAGGATACATAACCAAACTGTTAATAGTAACTGAAGTGTTTATCAAGTGAAAAGAAACACATATAGCCCTTGCAGTGAAAATTCATTAAAATTTCTTTATGACATATAATTCTGGAAACAAAGATATAATACATCGAAGAAAACATTTTAACCATAATGCTTACCTGTAGCTATAGCTGATTGGCTGTATAGGACTGGAGAACTACCAATGGTAGCTGATCTCTGAACTACTGCAGTACTAATTTCTGTAGCTTTTCTTTTTACAGCTTTAGTGGAAGGAGAACTAGAGGTGGTAGAATCAACTGAACTCTGAAATGCAAAAGATCCTAGTCAGTGCTGCAAAAGGCCCTAGATAAACATCCTCTTCTAAAATAGAACATGGTGTCAATTATGCCCCAGTCCCCGGAAACTCTTTAGGATGTCAAACGGCATTCTCACCTGGCTAGTTACAATTGTAGTTTGTGTAGAAGGTTTCAATGGAGTATCCTCCTCTGTTCCTGGGGCAGGAGGCTCCTCATTTCCCTCATCCTCCATCTCAACCTCCTGGATCTCACTATCTTCTACAGGAGGAGGAGGGGGTGGAGGAGGAGGAAAAAAAGGGGTGGTGGCATTTCCAAAGGTAATGGAGGTTGAAGCACAGGCACATTTGACTGAAGGAGGGTCCAGAATGGAGTAAGTGGCATGAGTGATGAAGAAGACACTTGACCAGAAAAGGACTCTTTACAAAGAGAACCTAAAAAACCAAACAGGAGTCAGGGAAAAGGCAAGACAAAAACTTCATATTTACAGAAATGCGCAATTGCGTGGTGAGACAAAATCTGACCCACAGATCTATTCTACACTGATGCCACTGAAATACTAAATAACTCAGTTCAAAATGATTCTCATGGAAAGATAAATTTATAAACCTCATAGTGAGCACTCACCCTAGCTATGAAATACCAATTTTGTTCTTTGGGTCCAGATTTATGAACAAGTAAGTGAAGCGTATCACATCAACCCAATGAGAAATTCAGTCATCTGAACCTACACTAGATTTCAAAATACACAACCTGGCTCTAGCTGGGTAGCTCAGTTGGTTAGAGCATTGTCTGATACACCAAGGTTTCAGGGTTGACCCTCGATGAGGGCACATACAAGAATGAAGCAATGAATGCATGAATAAGTGGAACAACAAAAACCAGTGTTTCTCTCCCCCTTCCTCTTTCTAAAATGAAAAAAATCCACCAAACCACAACTAGAAGACAACACTCTAGGTTCTTTTTGCTCTTAAAGGTGAGGAGCAGGGAGTGATGCGCATTTGCAGTACTGATTCCGTGTATTTTTAGTGGGCTAAACAAGTATTTGAGGATAACCCAGAACTCCCACACAAATTCTATCCATTTTAATTAATTTGGGTTACTAAAGTTATAAAAATCCATTTGCAAGGTGCTATTGTCAAACCTATCATTCCTTCACATTTCTGAAGGAATTGTGAATTATACTCATTTGTTAAATCACAGCAACATAAATCAGGAAAGTAATTTTATTTCTGTGACGAGAAAAGGGAAATTTAGGGGAATAAATCCTCAAGGTAAATGATAACTCAGAGGTGTTTGAACATGCAGAGGATTTGAAATTGCTGTTGAATTCTGAGTTAAATTACAAGCTGAAAAGCTGTAGGATCAGCTTTCCTCTGGTTTTGCAAAATCCAGTTAACTACTGTCCTTTCTCTGCTGGGAAAAGCTTTAAGGATTAGAGAAAATAGGAGGATATACTTACTTGTAGCCTTCCCCATCCCTCTTTATCGTCAATAGGGAAGTTTCACAATATATGAAACTATTAGATATATATCCCAGGAATGTTGAAGGGGATTTTCTCCCTAAAAATCATAGAATTTAGGAGTAGAAGAGACATGAGAAATCATCTAGTTCAACCTTCTCTTTTAAAGGTAATGAAACCCAGGAAGGAAATAAATTGCCCAAGATCATACAGCTCTTAGTGGCCAGTTATGACTCCTAGTCTAGTGCTATTTTTACCAAGATTTCCTGGTGAAATATCAAAAGTCCAAGAGCTTTAGAAATCTCAAATAAATCTCACTTCTCCTGGAGTAGAGATCCAGATGCAGGTACCTGTTAAATTTCATGGTCAAAAGCAGTGGATTAGATAAGGGCTCTATTATAAAAGGCTCTGGGACAAGGATAAACATTTTACTGTAGCTTGCTGAAAATACACCACACAAGGGCATTCAACAAAGTGACCAGGAACCATTTGGCTTTTATAATAGCTTTACTTTTCATAGATCAGAAAAATGACACATTATGTAAGACTAAGAATCTGATTCATATGGTTACTGTAATTATTTTGAGTTGTTGTTTACTACTAAAGAACACTGAAAAAATTCATCAGAAAACAAAAATGCAGTTTTCTAGCTAAAGACTTCAAATATGCCATTTAAGACTTTAAAATATGTCATTAAACTTGTATTTGATTATATCTAATATGAATTTAAACACTAACTTTTAGACAAATAAAGTCTTGGTAGGACTATATTCTAATAATATATCAGAATTACATCAGAACTAAGGCAATAAACATTACTAAACTTCCTTCTAATAAACCAACCACAACATATGGTTGGTAAAATGTCAGATTTTATATAATGGCAGATATCTCATCTAGAAGCATAATGCAATGCCAATACAGTAATGATGGTGATATGCTGCTGTGCAGAGGAACTCAAGAAAACATGGGTTCAAAATTAACAATGTGATTCACAACTCCCAAAGTTAATCAGAATTAAACTTTGTAAATATAAGGCAAACTAATCTTGATAAATTCTGCAGTGAACAAGAGCATTTTAGAGTTAATATTTGAATCTCAAACTACATTTACTCAAGACAAAAGCTGTGTCTTAACATTCATTGGTTATTTTCTTTAGCTAAAATACAAAGAACGTCAAGAAATCTAGTTTGAATATTCATGGATGTCATAGTGCTTTTCTTCATTTCTAAATGTAAACCAGTTGTTATATATTTTGAAGTCTGAAGTCCAAGGAGATATTAAAATGGTATACACAGCTTTTATTATATGCTAACAGATTAAAAAACTGTAAGCTTAAAGACAGTATAGTGCGGGGATACAAATTTTAAATTCTTTAAGAACATGTCTTTTCTATGCATCTTTATTTTTATTTATGGGCAGGCTTCCTTTGTTTTTGTGTATTCCCCTGAGAAAATTTTGCTTAGTATTTTGAGCCAGGAGGCCAGTTTAGCAATGTAAAGCAAGAAGTTATTATATAAATAACAGGTCCCACAGAGACTTTTTTTGAAAAAGCAGACATATTTAAACTAAGTGACACAAGTCCAATAAGACAGATATACTGGGTATCTTGAAATATTGCTTATTTTTAGAGACACTGACCAACAAACAAGGATTATAATAGAACTCTGGAACTTCCTTGCTCCACACAGTGTAATAATTTTTCTTCTTTAAAAGATGGTTTAACCACTGCTAAACTGACAAAGAGCACATATTAGAAACTTTCTTTATAGGCTTAAAATAGTGATCAGTATTGCTTTTAAATCCTTAAGGCCTACATACAAATTTGGATTCTCTTTACATCAAGTTTACCATATGGTTTTAGTGATTCTCTCAATATAGATGCTGAAGAATGTAAGATGGTCTATCTCTGGCTTTTCCCTACAGTTTAACTTAGTTTTATTTTAATCAGATAGGAATGTCTCAAGGTCTTCCAACTAGTTGTGTCACAAAAAAAAAAACACAGAGAAAATAACTTATTACTTAATTCTAAGGTGGTCATTTTAGACTATCCAGCTTTGGAACATACAAAAAAGGGACATCAGACAGTGGTCAGGAGTGGAATCACCTACCCAGAACCATCACTACGCCTCTTACGTTCACTAACTACAAAAAAAAAGCTAACAATAAAACCAACTTATTAGACTCTGTCTGTCTGTCTATCTATCTAAACCAGAGGTCCTCAAACTTTTTAAACAGGGGGCCAGTTCACTGTCCCTCAGACATTCCACACATGCGCACTGAGGGCCCGGGACGAGTCGGCTGCTAAGCAGGACAGGCAGCGGCGGCAAAAACACCCGGCGGGCTGGATAAATGTTTTCGGGGGGCCGCATGTGGCCCGTGGGCCGTAGTTTGAGGACCCCTGATAAACTATCACTGCTACCAAAAGAATGGGAAAAGTAAAAGTAAAATGATAGTAAAATATCCCATAACTTGAGAAAATGTATTTCTATGAAAAATAAGGCAGAATAAAACCACCCTTTTGCTGTTATAAAATTATCACTGCAGTGATATGTGGCTTTTTATTTAGAGCAATCTGATAACAATTCCTAGACTATTTAAGAAATTAAAATCATGACTAGTTTCATTTGCTACATCATCAGAATTTTTCTACTGAGATTAGGCAGTACAAAGCATCTTTTTGATAAGCAGAGGACAAAAGAATTCAGCTTTTTACTCCCTAATTTTCCAACCAATTCCGTATCTTTTTATCTTCAAAGGTTTATTACTTTAGAAGCCACTTTTGTCTCTTGCCTTCATATGCCATCATTTTAACAAATAGTTACCAGTTTTTTAGAGCAAAAGGTTTATCAGTCTTGATTATACTTCATTATTCACTTATTTTTGTCATTTCAAGATGGACTTTAAGGGAAAAAAATATGTATTATCTTCCGTAACGTGGAAATTAAGCCACGACTCTTAGAAGAGCTATCAGATTCTCAGAGTAACTAAGGAACTATGGAAGCCTCACTCCCCCTTTTAATGTACAGGTCCTCGAATTACGTCATTTTGTTATAACGTCAATGAGATGACATAAGAAGTTAACTCGTTTAATCAATTAGCCTATGGTAAAACTGATTTCATTATACATTGTTTTCCTTAAAGTAACAGAAACTATCGAAGAGTTAAGTGAGGACTTCTGTATCTAACTAAAGTGAAGAGCTCTGACAGTACTTTAAATGTGTTAAGCCATTCTGATTATTTTATAGAAGAATGTTGTTGACTATTTGCAATGATAAATTATTTTGTTTCTCTGAACAAGTATGGTCCTAATTTCATAGCATTTCATCAGATCATTATGATTTGTAACAACCACACTTCTTATAGGACTTTTTATAAGTGGAGCTGAAAAATGAGGTTATACTAGTTCTACAGAAAGGTGGAACAAATCTCACATTACTCCACATAGATATTAACAATTCAACAATCTAGTCCCTTAGCAATAATTAGCATTCCGTTATTGGAAATCCACAGCTTGTCTGTGACATGAGAGTGGTTATGGGACAGCATTTTAAAATCAAAATACACTGGCTCATCATTTCATTTTTTTATCAATGGTATGCTGATTTCCAATCAGTCACTGTCTTTGTTTTCTTCAGTCTAACTTCTTCAATTTTTTTTTTAGGTCAAGCCACTAGTTTTTAATTAAAAATCTGTTATGATCTAAATTATTTCTTTTTTAAAAAAAAATTATTTCCTTTTTTAATGATCTCAATACAAGTCTTTTTTCTAAAATAATTTCTCTCCAATTAGTACAGGGCAAATTGTCCCACCTGTGGAATTCTCAGAGGGTGCTGTAGAATTTGAATCAGTGCCAGTTTTGTCTTTCAAGGTCTGTTTAGGAAGAGTCTCGTCTTTACTTTCTTGTGCTTGGCTTTCTTCCTCCTCCTCCTCACCATCTGGGAACTCCCACTGAGACTCGCCCGAATGTTCGTTTACATAGAAATATCGTCTATGATCCCTAAATTACAAGAAAGAAAAACACATGTCTTAAGACCCATTCTCCAACAAAGACACTTCCATTTGGTCCTGTCCCAGGACAGCAGTCTGCTCTCACAGGGACGAACCTCTTCTTAATGGACTGCTATTCACAAAGGCAACAAAGAGCTTTGACATTTGAGGATGAAGAACCAAGGAAATTCAAAGCTATTTGCACTGCCAGCAGCTCTGTGAATACAGCCCTGAGCCCTCTCAACTCCAACAGATGACTTAGAAAACACCTCTCATATTCAGATCTTTTTTTTTTTTTGCCAATGCTTTTCAGGATTTCAAGTGTCATTAACAGAGGGACTCAATTTCCTAGAACACTAATTTCCCTTCCAAAGAAGAGAACAACGAAGTTTGCGAAAGGTGACTCTTCCCCTCTTGGACCGTGGAATTCACATTTCATATTCTTGATACCAAACACAGTGAAAGCTAAAGAGAGGGAGAGTATCTGGGAGCTGAAAAATAAAAGAGCAAAGATTTCAAATAACGAAAAAAAAAAAATCAAGAAAAGCCAAATATAAAAAGAAATGTTTTCATCTGACCTGCTGGCAGAAGATAGTAATCTTGTTCTTCATTCACATCTTCAGCCACGAAGCTTTCCTTAACTTCACCGAGGTTAATCAGGAGTAGTTGCTTCCAGAGGTCCTGTAAAGCGCACAGAGCTCTCGCATGCGCTTAACCCCCAAGCCCGCCCTACTCCGTGCAACACTCTGGAGAGTGAACCAGCTTGTCCAATCTTGGAAAAAAATCCGTTACATGGAACACTTTGAACATTGATTTGTGTTTCTCCAACACGTGGCTGGCGCAAACTCTGTGATCGCTTGTGGTGCTTTGCCTGCCAAGCACCGCTAACTGCAGCTGCTCTCAGTCTCCAGACAGGCTGTCATGTTGTCAAGGTGGTGGTGATCACAAATCATGTCTGAGATGTCAAAGGTGAAAGGTGAAAAGGGGAGAAGAGTGCGTACCTGTCCCAGTGGCAGGACCAGCCTTTAGGAGTGGCGTTTATTTCATACTGTTTTAGTTGTTCTGCTGCATCCTGAAGTTTTCGTTTAAGGTAGTTTCCATTAAGAGCACCTTCCCGCCAGTCTGCAATCCGAGTCTAAAATCAACAAACAGCAATAAGTGTTAAAGACTTACTATTATTTCAGGAGACAGAGATAAGAAGTTCATGAGTTTTCTAGTTCGTGACTGTATTACTATACCGTGGCAGGAGTAAACCAAAGAGGAACAACAACAAAAATCCCATCTTAATTACCTAAATAATATTGTTTGTCTGCAGTTTCCTGAAAAATGAGATTGGACCCCAGTATATTTTTACACTGCTAACTCTCCTGTCCTGTGAAAATGAGAAGCAGTTTTGGTTTCCCCCTTTAGATTATATGAAGATTGGTTCCCCAATAATTTTGGATAGATAGTTCATTCAGTTTAGCAATGTTATTAACCAAAGGTCCAGTTCTAAGGACATTATATACAAACTCTCAGTACTCATCTTAATAATTATATTTTGTTTTGGCTAATACAGTTTTATTTCCTGGGTTAGCAGTTAAATATGCATCAAGGTTAAACATTCAAATTCAGGATTAAAACATAAACAAGACAGATTCTTCACTTGTAGCATTTCATTTAAACATTGACTATACCAAAAATGGCTAATTACCTCAGTCTGTAAGAGCAGTACATGAAAGTTGGAGATGGACTGTCTATTAATGCCTAAAAATTCAAATTTACTCATCAGGGTATTTGCTAGTTCTCCAATCTGAAACTGTAATGCAGGAAAGAAAAAAAGTTAAAATAAAAATGGAATCAGCAATATTTTCTGTATTAAATAAAATCTGGTATTTATTATAGACACTAAAAATATGGGTCTCAAGTAGCTGCATCCAAATAGTTATGCAGAAGATAAGTTTATAATTTATAGCAACGTAACTCCAATAAAATGAAGAATAATGACAGAAGGTTTAGAGAAATTAAATATGTACCTACTCTAACACAACATGGAATTCAACAGTTGAAAACAGATCTGAAATGATGTAACTCTCGGTATTGTTCATACTATCATTTATCCATTGTGTTAGGGACATTATATACAAACTCTCAGTACTCATCTTAATAATTATATTTTGTTTTGGCTAATACAGTTTTATTTCCTGGGTTAGCAGTTAAATATGCATCAAGGTTAAACATTCAAACTGGTCACAAACTGAAAAATATTGATTCTCCCAGTCCCTTCTACATGGTTGTACACTAGCTAGTAATTAGATAAACTCTTTAAGTCAAAAGAATATGCTAACTGTTTTTCCCAACAAACCAACTCTAAATAGCCACATACTTAATATAGGCCAATTCTCCTATTAGAAATGACACCAACCAAAGGACTTATATGCATGCATATAGGCCTAACCAGTGGACACAGACACCAGGGGGGTGAGGGCATGAGTGGGGGGGACAAGGGGGTAATGTGGGGATAAGAACACATATGTAATAACTTAATCAATAAAGAAATTAAAAAAAAATCATCCCATGTCATAGAAAAAAAAAAATGACATTGGAAGAAAATTTGACTTTGTGTAAGGACATGTATTTCATGCAGAAATTAAATTTATGACTTTTAATCTCTTTAGTACTTCCAAACTAGAGAAGCCTTTACATCCTGGCTGGTGTGGCTCAGGGGTTGTGCTAGGTCAGTTAGATTCCATCAGGGCACATGCCTGGGTTTCAGGCTTAATTCTCAGTAGGAGGCATGCAGGAGGCAGCTAATCAATGATTCCCTCTCATCACTGATGTTTCTATCTCTCTCCCTCTCCTTTCCTCTCCGAAATCAATAAAAATAATTTGGGTGTTCTTGGCCAAGTTGTTCACAGAACAAATACCTTGGTTGTTGAACCAAAGTTACAAACTTTTCAAGCTGGTAACTCAGAATGACAAAAAGCGTCTCAGACAATCAACAAAGGAGAGAATGCTTTTATTGCTTGCAAATTAACCATTAGCACAATTTTAAAACATAAAGAGGCCATCATGAGTGCTAATGCTTTTAAGGGTGTGATCATAGACAATTGAAGAGGTAGAAAAACTGTTGTTGATTTGGATAAAGGAAAAGCAGCCAGTGACAAGCCATTTTGGAGGCAGTGATATATGAACAAGTTCAAGATGCTGCATGATGACTTGAAAGAGATCCCTGGACCAAATGCTAAAAGTGATTCGTTTAAGGTGAGTAGGTAGAGGTATCGATATATTTAAGAAAACAAATGTTTATTTATAGATTAAACAGTACATCAGATATGTACTATATATAAGAAAGGTTAAAACAGAATCATTTGGGGGTTTGGAATGGATTAACTCAATGACCCCACTGAGCCATGCCAGTCAGGCTCAACTTATATTATCTCTAATGGGAAAAAAATGATTTGGCTTTCCAACAAATTGCTTCTCGAGATGCCTTCCAGAATGGATTAAGCTCAAGAACTGAGGTTCCACTGTATTTGATAAGCTATTGCTTTCTAAAGGAGGTTTCTTGTAAGAAAGTAATAAGGATTTATTATTAGATAATTTATCTACATAAAATCAGTCTTATAATTCCTTACTTCAGTCTTAAATATGACCTTTTCACCTAAGTAAATAATTTAGATTTGGAGATAAAGATTACTTTTACTACTTGCTAATAGAAATTTAATGGTTAGCTAATTTAAAAATATTTGTCAAGTTACATTAAGGAATATGTATACATACTTTTAAATCCTGTTCTTCTTCTACTTTAGGTGCTGTTTGTAATTTATTCTTCTCTGAAGATTCTTCTACTTCCATTTCTTTGTCTGAATGCTCATCTATTTTTTCTGAATTTTCAGCACCAATTGCTGCAAAAAGAAGCCACAACAAAAAAAACACATAAAATTAATTCTAAGGGACAATACTGATAGAGCCCCATAAACATTTTCTTACTCCTGTAGAAGAGAGATCTGAAAAAGGTTACAAATTCTCTCTGTTGCTCGTGTTTCTTTCTTGTTAAAGAAGCCCTAATGCCTTGGCCAGTTTGGCTCAGTGCCTGGAGTGTCAGCCCGTGCACTGAAGGGTCATGGGTTTGATTCCGGGTCAAGGACACATACCTGGGTTGTAGGTTTCATCCCTGGCTCCAGCTGGGGCGAGTGAGGGAGGCAACCAATTGATGTGTCTCTCCTACATCTATGTTTCACTCTCTCTCCCTCCCTTCCACACTCTCTAAAAAAATCATTGGGAAAAATATCCTTGGGTTAGGATTAACAACAAAAAAAGCCCTAACGATTTATCAATCCAAAAAACATTATCCCTCATAATCACCTTTCTTAAAATGGGCCTATTTGTTTACATCATTACTCTGTAGTTTCTGCTTTCCCTTTCTCCTTTATTAATCTTTTCTAATCATCTCTTTCAGAATACCACAAATTCACTTACTTACAAAAGCTAGATATCAAACTCAGAATATCTGAGGGTTATCAAGTGAGTTCTGAAAAAAAAAAAAAAAAAAGACTTTCTTTTTATTTAAAAAAGTTTTATTGATTTCAGAGAGGAAGGGAGAGGGAGAGAGAGAAACATCAATGATGAGAGAGAATCTTTGATTGGCTGCCTCCTGCATGCCCCCTACTGGAGATCGAGCCCATAACCGGGAATTGAGCCATGACCTCCTGGCTCGTAACTAGTGAGCCACACCTGCTGGCCAAAAGGCTTTCAAAATCAGAGCAGCATTTTAAACTACCTAATAACTTCATTTCTGAACTAGCTAAGACCTGAAGACAATCTGTATTGGACCAACCTACTCTTCTGGTTGGTGCTGATTCTGTTAGTAACGGGAATCTCCAAAAGAACAGGTTTACCACCATCTTGGAGTAAAGGATAAGAACTCAAGCCCTGGCCAGGTACATCAGTTGGTTAGAACATCATACCAATACACCAAGGTTGGGGGTTCAATCCCAGTCAGAGCACATAAAAGGAGCAACCAATGAATGCATAAATAAGTGGGTCAACAAACCAATGTTTCTCTCTCTAAAATCAATTAAAAAGAAAAAAAATTTAGCCCTGGCCAGTGTGGTTCAGTTGGTTCGAGTGTCATCTATACACCAAAAGATAGCTGGTTCGATTCCTAGTCAGGGCACAAAGGTTGCAGGTTAGATCCCAGTTGGGGTGTATATGGGAGGCAACATCAATGTTTCTCTCTCCCTCCCTCCCTCCCTTGATCTCTAAAAATCAATAAAAAACATATCCTTAGCGGAGGATTAAAAAATAAATAACAAATATGAACTCTTTGTTAGGCTTGCTTCAAAACACCTGCTTAACAACTAATCCCCATATAAAATGTAATTTTTTCAGTCATGAGAACCACTTTTTAAAAAAAATAATCGAATTTGAGCCTGGCTGGCATGGCTGCGGTTGAGCATCAACCTATGAACTAGGTCAAGGTTTGATTCTGGCCAGGGCATATGCCCAGGTTGTGGGCTTGATCCCCAGTGTGGGCACACGGGAGGCAGATCAATGTCTGATTCTCTCTCATCACTGATGTTTCTCTCTCTCTTAAATTAATAAAAACATAAACTTCTAAAAACTGTCCATCAACGGGGGAAGAGTTAAATGTAAAAAAGACATCCAGCTTGGCTGGTGTGGCTGCGTGATTGAGCACCAACCTCCAAACCAGGAGATCATGTTTCAATTCCCAGTTGGGGCACATGTCTGGTTGCCGGCTTGTGCAGGAGGCAGCCTATCAATGATTCTCTCTCATCACTGATGTTTCTATCTCTCTCTCCCTCTCTGAAATCAATAAAAGTATATATATATATATAAAAAGAGATATCCATACCACTTTGTGTTTAAAAACAAAGATTTTCAAGCCATGTTTTGTTGTTTTTTAAAAAAATGTATTTTTATTGATTTCAGAGAGGAAGGAAGAGGGAGAGAAAGATCAATGATGAGAGAGAATCATTGATTGGCTGCCTCCTGCATGCCCCCTACTGGAGATCGAGCCCATAACCGGGAATTGAGCCATGACCTCCTGGCTCGTAACTAGTGAGCCACACCTGCTGTTATGTTGCCTAACAATCTATAAGGCTAATCTCATCTCATCCATACAGTAATATGTTCATGTATACATAACTTCAAATGTAAAAGGTCTAGAATATATATGTAGATAAAGGAGAATGGATGACCTTAGGGGTATGGAACGAGAATAGAGAAAAGATGAAGGGGGTCTTTTAGAATTCTACTTTACGTTCTTCTATATTGTTGATTGAAAAGAAAAAAAATCAAACAAAGATGTTTTCATTTATCTGTTTTTGTTCATTTGTTGCTTTTTTAGCCATAACCTATAAGGTATCTTCTTCTGCTAGGTATACTCTATTAAGGTTTGGTAGTCAAATCTTATTGCTAACTTTCCACTACAAAATTAAGGCCAAATGGAGATAAAAGCATTAGTTCTGATAACAGATTGGGAAAATGCAGCAGGATCTCTTCTATATTACTGTGAATGAAGATAACTTGAGTCCTAATGACAGCAACAAACGTATCTACACAGCCAACCAGAGGCTGGGAAACTTGCTAGAAGTGGTCAAAATTTGCCCTGCTTACCAACTGGAAATAGTGAACCAAGTAAGGAGAGCCCATGGTCTTACACAGATAAGAATTATTGTGTCCCTAGCGGACTTTCTCAGTGGTTAAAGCGTTGGCCCGAGGACTGAAGGGTTGCAGGTTAGATTCCAGTCAAGGGCACATACCTCAGTTGCAGGCTTAATCCCCAGTTTGGTTGGGGCGTGTGGTAGGGGGCAACCAATCGGTGTGGTCTCTCTCACATTGATGTTTCTCTCTCTGTGTGTCACCCCCTCCCTTCCACTCTCTCTAAATATCAATGGAAAAAATATCCTCGGATGAGGATTAACAAAAAAGAAAAAAAATTAGTGTGGCAAGAGTAAGAAAGGAGAAAGAAGAGCCAATCTTGTTTTTCTGTTTCTGAGGGAGAAGTAACCTCCAATCAGTAGTGAATACATAACTGAACAGATGCCATCCTTTCAGAATCTTAACTCTTCCATTAGTGGACAGGAAAAGGTTGAGAGAAGTGGAAGGAAGCTTCCTTCCCAGCATTTCTGTAAAAGGGTAAAGTGCTGTCCCCTTTTTTGTGGAAGAGGGAACAAAAAAGGGAAATGAAGGAATTTCCTTCCACATCTTTCATCTTTAAAGTTTAATGTAAAGCACGAATTACCAGTTTCTCCATTTTCTGGAGTCTCCCGTCCAGTTTTGCTAGAACTCCGGCTGGTAGATTCTGGACTGGTAGCTCGAACAAACATCTTCCATTTTCCTTTTTTAGACATAAGTCTACGCATTCCATCTTGTGATGCTGGCTGGCTGATATCAGAACATGGACTAGACCCTGACACACTACCATCTCCTTCCTCCAAGGCTCGCAACTCTGCCTACAAAGAACATGAAAATAAAGTTAGTGTCATTAACTGTTAGTAACATTAAAATGTCTGTGAGTAGCCATGTGTTTTCTGAATTTAAATCCTTCGAGGACAGGAAGCATTTCTTAATACATTTTTTCTGAATTTAAATCCTTCGAGGACAGGAAGCATTTCTTAATACATTTTTTTCAACAATATAGAAGAACGTAAAGTAGAATTCTAAAAGACCCCCTTCATCTTTTCTCTATTCTCGTTCCATACCCCTAAGGTCATCCATTCTCCTTTATCTACATATATATTCTAGACCTTTTACTTTTGAAGTTATGTATACATGAACATATTACTGTATGGATGAGATGAGATTAGCCTTATAGATTGTTAGGCAACATAATTTTTTTCACTTAAAAACATGGCTTGCCTTGGCTAGTTTGGCTCGATGGATAGAGCATCAGCCTGCAGACTGAAGAGTTCCAGGTTCGATTCCGGTCAAGGGCACATCCTGTTGCATTTTCCCAAAAATGTATTGAACATTTAAGGGCACATACCATATTCCATATTCAATTGTTACTCAATAAATGCTGACTCATGATTATAGTCAAATATGGATTTGAAGGAGATAGGTTCTAGAGATCCACTAATAGACAAAATTTGCAATACGTGTACAAAACAGACAAAGCTTAACTTTGCTAATCTCTCTTTTTAATGTCAAGGAGATATTACTGTTATAACACGTTATGATTTTCCTTCATCCAAGGTAGCAGTAGATGAAACTGTTCAAAGAAAATCAGGGCAGAAAAGATGGTGCTTTTTCCCCTTTTAAAGAAAAGCACATGAAATTATAGGTTCCTTGTAATTCTTCTGTTCTTACAAAGTCCATTTAACATCAAAACATGATATGCCATGGCTGATAAGCAGACACCAACTTGTACTTTGTTGGGTTAAAAAAAAGTTAATCACAAGAATTTGTAATGCTTATTTGTTAAGAAGCTAAATAAAATATATTTTATTCACTGTATCTATTCTTAAATCAGGACAATGTCAGTCTTTATTGGTTGTCAACTACCAAAAAAACATCGTCAGGGACCAAAACAACTACAATTCCACAATTCAAGTTTCTATTGCATAAGCTTAAACATACCTAGATGAAAAGATAAGAAAAACAAAATCCCAGTAAGTGTGCTATAATTTATGCCCAATGACCCCAGAGTATGATAGTACTGAGGGAAGAAAATGTACATTAGTTAAAATTTCAAAGCTTACTTTTTTCCTTTCCAAAACGAGCTCCAGTTCAAGGGTATCTTGTTCCTCCTCCTCACTTTCTCCAGATTGAACAACACTGCAAAGATCCTCCTGAGAAGGGTCTTCCATATTGTCCAATACAGTTTCCTGTGGCTTTACTATTGCTGCTGTTTCTTCTGTTGTACTTGTTTCTTTCACTTCTGAGACTGGCTCTACTTCTTTACAAATTACTTTTCTTCTCCATCTCTCTTCCTCCTCTTTTATTCCCTCAGGCAATAAAGGAGCAAGCAGTGCTGCTGCCACCCCTTTTCTCTCTTCCTCACTATTTGAGAGAGCTTGAATTCCTTCATTTACTTCCTATAAAGAATAAAATAATTTCACTTTTCAAATAAATCTCACCTGTATATAATTGTTCATGTAAAAAAAATGACTGCATTTTTCAGTCATTGATTATTGAAAACCAACTTCCAACAGATTAGTATGTTTGTATCATTTTCCTTACATGTGCATAATGGAAAGATTGCTATTTAGGAAGGCAACCTGAACTAGAACCTAGTTGTGGGTGGAACTCAAAACATATCCTTCCCCCATTCTCCCTATGTCAAAAAACAAACTAATAAGAAGCACAAGTAGATTTCAGGAAGGTCAAAGTTTTGTCAGCTCAACACATGACTGTATAACTATTCACCTTTCTCTTCTCTATGGTGAGATAACCTCACATTTATTCTATAAAGGTGATTTAAAGGAAAGCAAAAACATTTCTAAAATGAAATGTGTGATTATATTTAAAGTGTCTATTTCCTCCACTGGGATATTTACTTTACCTCCCTCCTGGAGTTGCAAATATTAAATTATTCCAAAAGTAATTTCTGGACACCCCCCTACTCCATTATTTAAAAATTCAAGACAAATTAAATTTCAACTCACACACTCTGCAAAATACAACATACTTTTCTTATTGATGAGGCTACAGAAATGCTCATTTCACTAGTTTTAATTAAGGTAACTGATCACTTTATTTTAAAAAAGAATGGCTATTATCAAAAAATCAACAAAACCCTGTCTGGTGTGGCTCAGTTGGTTGGGGCATCATCCTGTGCACTGAAAGGCAGGTGTGCAGGAAGCAGCCAACTGATGTTTTGCCCTCTCATGGATGTTTTTCTCTCTCTCCCTCTCCCTTCCTCTGTCTCTAAAAATAAAAAAACAAAACAAACTTTTTTAAAAAAATCAACAATCAACAAGTGTTGGCAAGGATGTAAAGAGAAGGGAACCCTGATACATGTTGATGGCATAGTAAATTAGTAGTCACTATGGAAAATAGCATTGAGGCTTGTCAAAAGATTAAAATCAAACTACCATACAGCCCAACAATCCTAGTTCTGGGTATTTAACTGAAAAAAATAAAAATGATAATCCAAGAAGATATATGCACTCCAATGTTCACTGCAGCATTATTTACAGTAACAATGATATGGGAGAAATTTAGGTGTCTATCGATAGACGAATAAACATGCAGTATACATATAAAATGGAATATTACTTAGCCATAAAAAGAAAGGAAATCTTGTCATTTGTGACATGGATGGCTAAGTGAAATAAGTCAGAGGACAAATACTATCTGATTTCACTTACGTGAAATTAAAAGAAAAAAACAGATTCGGAAATACAGAGAACTGATCGTTGCAAGGGGGGCTAGTGTAGGGAGTAAAGGAGAATAAGAGGTATAAACCCTCAAATATAAATAAGTCAAAGGGACACAAGATACAGCATGAGGAATATAGTCAATAATATTGTAATAACTTTGTACGATGACAGATGTTTAATAAACTTATTGTGTTGATCATGTTGTAAGGTGTATAATTGTTGAATCACTATGTTGTACACCTGAAACTAATACAATATTGTATTGGCAACTATACTTATGTGGAATCCCAAAATAAAACTATTCTGAAGTGAAGAAGGGGAACTGAGGCTATGGCTATTGGCTGCTCCCATATCTTTGAAAATGACCCAAGGAGCCTCTATGGTACCCTAAAGCTCCAAAAGAATCACTGAACTTGTTTAACTCCCATAAATACCACATAATAAACAGAAACAGATTAAGTAAAATTTTAAGAAACAGGATTTATCTTATTACACATCTGTGTTGTAAAATACTAACAGAAGGCCTGGCCGGTGTTGCTCCAGTGGTTGAACATCGACCTATGAACCAGGAGGTCATGGTTTGATTCCTGGTCAGGGCACATGCCTGGGTTGCAGAAGGTAGCCGATCAATGATTCTCATCACTGATGTTCCTATCTCTCTCCCCTCTCTGAAATATCTATATAAAAGCCCAAGTGACTGTCTGACCATTCACCCGGTAGCTATGACATGCAATGACCATCAGGGGGAAGGCACTTTGACCAATAGAGGAGGGAGCCTTATGCCTCGTGGAATCGGCTATGTGTTAAGTTGCTGCTGGGGCACTGTTGGCCCTGAATCTGCTTCACCCGCACCCCAGACCCATTGGAAGATGTCGGAGGCCTGGTGCTCACAAAGCGGTGGGGACGCCTGGCCTGCGCCCTCTTGCAATTTGGGACCCCTCGGAGGATGTCAGAGAGCTGGTTTTGGCCCAATCCCCGCAAGCCAGGCTGAGGGACCCCACTGATGCATGAATCCGTGCACTGTGCCTCTAGTATATCTATATATATAAAATGCCAGTAACCTTAACAGCCATAACGACCAGTCGCTATGACGCCCACTGTGGCCCAATCAAGGGGTGGGGCCGGCCGGCCAACCTTGCAGCCCCTCCCCCCTGCCAGCTGGACTCTCCCACCCTGATCAAGAGAGGGGTGGCCGGCCAAATGCTCCCTCCCACTCCCCCATACCAGCCCCACCCCCAATCAGCCAGCCTCACCACGGTAGGCCCACAGCCCCTCCCCCTGGCCAGCCCGCCCCTGATTACACCCCCCCACAACCCCAATAGAGGGTGGGGCTGGGTGGCCAACCCCCTGCAGCCCCTCCCTCTGGCCACCCCACCCCTGATCACACCCCCCACCCCAATAGGGGGTGGGGCTGGCCAGCCAACCTCTTGCAGCCCCTCCCTCTGGCCGGCCACGCCCCCAATGGGCCTCCACCACCCTGATCAGCCTGCAGCCACTCCCCCCTGGCCAGCCCTGCCCCTGATTGCCACCCCACCTTAATAGGGGCAGGGCCAGCCAGCCAACTTTCCATAGCCCCTCCCCCTGGCCATCCTGCCCCGGATTGCCCCCACCCCAATCTCCTGCAGCCCCTCTCTGCCCAGCACCCCCACCCCATTCAGGGGCAGGGCCGGCTGGCCCACTGCTCACAACCCCTCCCCATGGCTGGCCCCGCTCCCAATCGGCCCCCTAACCCCAACTGGGGGCAGGGCTCACCATCCAATCGCCCATGGCCCCTTACCACAGCTGGCCTGGCCCTGATTGGCCCCGATCGGGGTGGGCCGGCTGGCCGGCCAACCTCCTGCCATCTCCTCCTCCCAACAGGCCCAGCCCCGATCTGCCCCGATTGGGGCTGGGCGGCCAGACCCCACCCTCACACGAATTCGTGCACTGGGCCTCTAGTATATATTAACAGAAGTCTTCTATACCTGTGCCACAGTAACATTCAAATTCTTTAGATATGGCCCAGCTGGCATGGCTCAGCAGTTGAGCATCCAATCTGGAACCAAGAGGTCACCAGTTCTATTCCCAGTCAGGGCACATGCCCATGTAGCAAGCTTGATCCCCAGTAGGGGGCATGCAGGGGGCAGCCAATGGATGATGCTCCTCTCTCACCAATGTTTCTATCTCTCTATTCCTCTCCCTTCCTCTAAAAAAATTTTTAAAAAATCTTTAGATTTGAAAATATGTAAATGAGGTAAGTTGTAACACTGACCTTTTTAACTTCTCGCTTGGCTATGACTGGTCCACTTTTACTACTGGCAACAGAAATATTTTTCTCCTTGTTATACATGTCTGTATTTACCACAAAATTAGTTTCAGTACCTGTTACTGAACTTAAAAGAAAAAAAAGAGGCAATTATCATTAAAAGATAAAGACTTAAATTTCCTTCTAGGTAATTTCTTTTTCAAGGTATTCCTACCTGGGTTGGTAATGTTGTAATCCCTGTACCTGGGTGGCAAGATACTGGGGTAATTCCCATGTCACTTCATTTGTTTGTGTATTCCAATAATAATAGCATCCTGTGTTCTCATCCCAAACTTCTTGCCAATCTCCCATCTCAATCTCAACTATAAGAAAATAAAACCAATTTTAAGAAGCACAAATTACTCCACAATTCTGACTTATAACCCAAGTCACCTCTAAAGCCATAACAATCTAACACAGGATTTCTCAGCCTTAGCACTAGGACATGATAGTTCTCTGTTGGTGGGTGTCGGGAGGCAGTCCTATGTAGTGTTTGGCAGCATCCTGGCCTCTACCCACTAGATGCAGTAACACTCCCCCCACCTCCTGTTGTGACAACCAAAACTGTCTCTAGACATGTCAAATGTCTCCTGGGAGGCAACTCCCCACACCCCATCATCTTGGCACATGTTTTAAAAAAGCAGTTTGATAGCGCAAAAACATATTCTGAACCCCAAAAGACTTTTTAAAATAATGATTTCAATCATTCACTTGGCAAAATCTGCTACTGGTTAAAAGGGCAAGCAATTGCCCTAGTTGGTTTTGCTCAGTGGATAGAGTGTCAGTGCGGACTGAAGGATCCTAGGTTTGATTCTGGTCAAGGCACATGTTTCTATCTCTCTCCCTCCCTCCCTCTCCCTTCCTCACTGAAATCAATAAAAATATATATTTTTTAAAAAGGGGGCAAGCAATTATCTTTCAAAAAATAAAAAATGTGTTCTAGTAATTCTCAGAGGTAACTACCCTATCCTACTTATTTTTCAAAATACTACATTTAAAAGGCAGAATCCTAGTCTGGGGCTAAAGCACTTGGGTGCTCATCTTTTGGAATCTCAATGCCTAGAACACCTTTTATGATTGCTCTTTAGACTTCTTTAAAAATCAAAGGATTGGTGTACCCTCCCTAAGCCCTTCCTTGTTTCACTGTACTTAGTTTTAATAAACATACTCTCAAAAAAACAACAACATATATATATAAAAAAATAAAATCAGCCCTAGCCAGGTTGGCTCAGTAGGCAGAGCATCAGCTTGCAAACTGAAAGGTCCCAGGTTCAATTCTTGTCAAGGGCACATGCCTGGGTTTTGGGCTTCATCCCAATAGGGGGTGTGCAGACGGCAGCCAATGAATGATTCTCTCTCATCATTGATGTTTCTCTCTTTCCCTGTCCCTTCCTCTTTGAAAAAATCAATATATATATATATATTTTATTGGTTTTTTACAGAGAGGAAGGGAGAGGGATAGAGAATTAGAAACATCGATCAGCTGCCTCCTGCACACTCCCCACTGGGGATGTGCTCACAACTAAGGTACATGCCCTTGACCGGAATCGAACCTAGGACCCTTCAGTCTGCAGGCCTACGCTCTATCCACTGAGCCAAACCAGTTAGGGCTCAAGAGATATATTAATAAATAAAAATAAAATAAAAAGGATCAAGCTACCTCCTGCCAGTGAACACTGAGTGTCATACTGCCACCCTGATGTCTGCGTTGAGTCTGTTCCATTCGAAGTAGTGGAAGAAAGGGCAGATGCTGCTGATTCCTTTGGCTCTGGGCGAGGTGGAGTTGGAGGTGGAGCAGAAGCTCCTGTAGAAGCAGCAGGCTGAGGAGCTGTTATTGCATCAATCTCCTTTAGAAAGAAAATAGTAACAAATGCATTAATCACATCAAAACCAGAAAATGACTATCACCCTTAAAAAAAATCCTACATGCTCAGTTCTTAGCTTCTCAAATCAAAATCCTCATATTCTAATTAAACAATTTCTCCAAACCTTTCTATTATCCATTTTTTTTTTTACAACCTTAACAAAAAGATAATACGAAGAGCCCTAGCCAGTTTGGCTCAGTGGATAGAGCATCGGCCTGTGGACAGGAGGGTCTTGGGTTTGATTCCAGTCAAGGGCATGTACCTAGGTTGCAGGTTCCTCCCTGGTCCAGGCCCTGGTAGGGGCACCACAGGAGGCAACCAATTGATGTGTTTCTCTCACATCGATGTTTCTCTCTATCTTTCCCTCTTTCTTACCCTCTTTCTAAAAATCAATGGAAAAATACCCTCAGGTGAAAATAAAAAAAATAAAAAAATAAGATAATATAAAGAGATGGGGAGGGACTAAGGAAGACAGATAAAAGGGGAGAAGTGAGAGGGAGAGACAGATTGACAAGTATGCTAACCAGTGAGATCTAAGTCCCCAAAGTGGTTCCAATAAGTTAAAAACCCAAACAAAAGCACCACTAACCGCTAGGAAGTTGGCCAATGTACTATCAATATCAGTTGACTGATTTCCATTCGCTTCTTTAGATTGTGCTGGTTTTTCCAAAACATCATTCTCTTCATCATCACTATCAGCATATGCACCAAGTAAGCATAAACCTCCTAGAAACAAAGAGGTAAAGAACTTTAGTAATAACAATGCTAATATGTCCTATGTAGCATCCAAGGAAAAATATAACATGGTTCTTCAACTAAACATTTAATTTACATTTAGTTTACTTACAGATTAGAACAAACCTTAAAATAAACCAACAATGAACTACCTGAGAGGCAGAAATTACATTATGCATTTAGAGCTAAGAAAATCAATCTGCACAGCTACTTTACACCCTACTCAAAATACATGCTCAAGCATTCAACTTTATACTCTGTCAAAATAGCATATCGTATATCCTGACTTTAATATTTGTTGATTTATGTATCCATCTCAAACAAGTAAACCAATTGGGATTTAGTAGATGAAACAAAGAGATTTTCAAAACTAAAAACAAAGTTCTTTTCCAATTATTTTTCTCTCAAACAAAGCAGATTTCAAAACGCTAGACCCAAAACAAAAAACTAACAACAACACTAGCACCAATGATCAATGTCTTCCTCAAACTCAAGTCCAGGTACGGCCCCTGAAATGCTGCTATGCTATTTCCTTTGTATCACCTGTGTTCACAAACTAAGCGAACACATACAGGGGTGGGCAAAAGTAGGTAAGACTCTGTGCCCAAGTGAGCTTGAGTATAACAACTACACTACAGAATGTGTAAATAATTAAGGCCGGCTAATTTGTACACTTATGAGATTTCTTTGTCGTAATTTCATAAACGAATTCATGGGTTCACATAAAAGTAAACACAAACTGTTTCACTTATCATACAAGAAGAGTTCATATTCAATGCTTTAATCACATAAATCTTGTTTTAGTACATAGGTAAGTTCTTACACTATACATTAATTTCCAAAATACTACTTTAAACTGATTAGAATGTGAAGGAGACATTTGACAGTGTTACCAAATACTTCCATTTTTCATGGTTTTGGGGTATACCAGACAATTTTCCTAACAAGAGTATGGAATAGCCTTGTAAGGGTACAGCTACAGAAGTAGACATTTCTGTATGGACAAATTCTGCCCGTTAGCACTCAGCGTTGATGGTTTTTTGAGGGAAGGAGGAAGATGGAAAATTTGTATTTTTACATAAAAACACTTCTTAGTTTAGAAACAATCATAGATCTAATCACTCAGGTCACTGTCTTTAAAGCTTCATATACTCTTTGATAAAAGGTTCCAAACCAGGTGAGTTGTGTGAAATTTCAATTACGAAATTCCCCAAGCTTGGAATGAATGGGTCTCACAGGCAATAGGTTTCGCCAAGGCTCCACCTATTTATTCCTTTTTTCTTCACCTAAGAACATTCCATAGCACATACATCAAACCTCTTCTAAGCTCCTAATAATATAATTACTATTAAATAGCAAAGTAAATTAAACTTGGTATTTGGGGGAAGAGGCATACTTAATATTGTTAGAGACACCATACATTAAATTGATTCAATATATTTTAAGAACAATCTGGTAACATGTACTAAGAGCTACTACAAGTTTCTTTTAGTTATTCTAATCTTTGAGGATATAACCCCCAAGAAAGAATTTAAAAAAAATTTTTGCACATTTTCTAACAGCCTTACTTAAATAACTAAAAGCTGTTTAACAACTCAAATGCTCTTAAATAGGGGACTAGCAAATCAAACTACAGCACAGTACCAGATGCAGTATTGTTTTATGATTAATCAGATCATTACAGTATTACATGGAACAGTGCTATGGGGACAAAAAGTAATGTTAACAGAATAAAAACAAGATAAAGGCAAATAATGAAATGTATGTAAATTCTAATTACATTTCTGAAAATTTAATCCATACATTGATGAGAACAGGAATAAGTTTAGAACACAAAAAATATTCACAATATTCTGCAAAATTATTAATCTTAGAAAAATAAGTCTCACAGAACCGTGTCTCACAGAGTACATATACTCTGTCAAAATAGCATATAGCGTATCACAGAACCATGTCCTAGACTACTACTGGGATGTTGTTGCTACTTGAAACTAGAGGAAGCAAGGCTATTCTTTGGAGCCATAGTCCTTAGCAGCATTTTTTTGAGAAGAATATTAACTCCTCAAATTTCAATATGCTTACCTTTAATGTATGGTGCCACACAATTTGCAAATGAACTAACTATATCTGGCTGTAATTTCTTAGATTATATTTTTTACTTTCTTGATAAGCTTCAAACAGTAACTGCATTATACTTTGAGTAACTATTATAATTTCCTCATAACATTGCTGAATAGTTGTTTTTAACCCTTTTAGTCACAGAAACTATTAATAATCAAGATGATAAAAGCTATACACCTCCTCCCAGGAACACACATTTGAGTGTGCAATTTCAGAGGGTCCAGAGACCTCTGACACTCATTTTGTGGTTGTTGCTAATCCTCACCTGAGAATATTTTACCCACTGCTTTTTCAGAGAAGTGGGGAGAGAGAGAAACACTGGTATGAGAGACACCTTGACTGGTTACCTCTGCATGACCCCAGACAGGGATGCGGGGAACGAGCCTGAAACCAAGGTATGCGTATGTGCCCTTGACCAGAATCGAATCCGGCACCCTTCAATCCTCGGGCGACACTATCCACTGAGCCAAACTTTAAAAACTGAATGAACTGATATATTACCTTGTACGATGATGTTGGACAAAATGAAAACATTTCTGTTCATAAGGCATATAAAGGCCTGAAGTGCTGACATAGCAATTAAGGAAATTTCTCCTAGAAACACTGAAATTCTATCTTACATGATTCTTAGACTCAAATGAAATAATATGTGTACTTTACAAATACAAAATGGTATTTTCTAGTTTGGAAATTTCTCTCAGAACCAAGTTTTAGCTTTTCTAACCCACACCGGGTTTTCTTCTTTTTTTAAGTGACAAATGGGAGGAGGAGGGAACAAGCATCTATTATTTCAGGATTTCAGGTGTCATATAGTACAAAAAGTACACCACACTTAAAAGAATAAAATTATTGCCAATTAATAGAATATTTAGTATCAAAATATTTTAATCTTTCAATCTATTTATATATAAAACTAACATTTTTTGATACTTCCCTGTCAAAACTTTATATAAACTTTTCAATGTAATCATCAAAATAACATAGAGCTTAAGATCCACTCTACAGGTGAATGAGATCCTGATTTCTCAGAATGAATGCTGAAGTGAAGATCGGAACTCAAATTTGTCTACAAAACCACTGCTGCAAATATTCCTTAATGCAATTTCAGCTCCACAAACATTTGGTAGGTACTAATCAAAGCAATGTGTTAGAAAAGAAACAGAAATCGATGGTGTTCCCTAAAGCCAGGTGGGGAAGCCAGAAAACTCATTACAAAATGGCATTAGAAGAAAAAGTAGTGTATTTTGGATACAGATTAAACAGCAACAAATTTTACATTGGTTGCAGTGTACATATACTAACAAACTCTCACAAATAGATTTAAAATTCCCATTTTGGGGGGAGAAATATAAATTAGCCAACACTGAAGCTGTCAACAAAACACTCAATAAACAAATCCAATTTGATCCTTATGAAATATATTATAGAAAAAAATGTAAAAAAAAAAATCTATACCTGTTGCTTTCACAGCGGTCAGTCTGGTGGTCATGACTGGTTTTGGAGGATTCTGAACTCTGGGAACCTCCACCACCACTTCCTGTTCATCTGGATTTGGAAAACGAACACAAGAGAGCTGCAGTCATTCGATGGACCAGAGAAAACACTACAGGTGACAAAACCAATCTCTGACTTGACCGTTCAAGTCCAGATTCCATCTTTTTAAAAACAGTGTACAATCCATCACTGACCCAAATAATTCGGGAGGTAATAAACAAGCACAGCTAGAATCTTCCGTCTCGTGACTTTAACATTAGGAACCTGAACATTATAAAAAAAAAAATCAAATTACATCTGAAATAAACTCTCTTTCTCTCTCTCTAAATGTGCTCTAGGCTACTACAAAGCCTTTACAACAAGCACAGCCATAGCGTTTGCTTTCGCACAAGCTACCCAGCGTGTTGGTTTTTTTTTTAAAACATCTGAAACGATCGTAGCTTCTCCGGGGTCTGGTCCCTGGATTAGAGCTATCGAATTACTCTTGTTTTAAATAAAAAAATATTTTTTTTTAAAAAAAATTACAGTTTGCATTCCATATTATGTTGTAGTAGTTTCAGGTGTCCAGCGTGGCGGTCAGACAAGTACCAGTCCCGGGAGAAACACACAAACACTTGGGCTACCCAAAAGTCTCACTTCAGAAATTTTGGGGTGGTGATACCTGCCAATTTGGGGGTTCCCGAAGCTTTGGCTGACATAATGAAAAGGGCTCGCTCACTTCTAAAGAGTCTCGGTTTCCACAAAAGCGAAAGGAAACGCAGATGACGTGCAGAAAAGGCCAGGTCCCCAGTCACCCAGCCTCGGACGCGGAAACTCATACTCTCACGTCCACCCCGCGAGGAATCCCACACACAGGGCGGACGTTGGCGCTCCAGGCCGCCGCGCCGCCCTCTGCAGCAGAGATGGCGCCTCTGGGA